TATGCATTCACCTTGAGAACTTCATCTTCATTTCCAAATGTAATGACTTCAGTTTTCTCTTTGTTTAACTGATGAAAGTTTTGTTAATTTCATCAATGCATTGGCAGAGGGAATCAATGGGGCTGTAGTCTTTTGGTGTTAATCTGGGTGTTATCTGCATAGCCACGATAGGCAATTTGGTTGCTTCTCATTGTTCTTTAAGTCCTGCAAGTTGCAATGTGAGGCCTCCAAGTATCAGATTTGTTGGTCCAGCACGATGCTCAATCTGACTGAGATCTGGGAATTTGGAAGTCATTTGGAAGTGCCTTATCCTGTTGAAAGAGGCCACTGCCATCAGTGAACACCGTTGCCATGAAGAGATGTTCATGGTCGGCAGTAATCTTTAGGTAGGTGGTACATGTCAAAGTAGCATCCACATGAATGTCAGCATCCAACATTTCCAGCAGAACACTGTCCAGAGCAAAACACCGCCTCCCTCTGCCTTCTTCCCATAGTGTATCCTGCTGCCATCCTTTCCCCAGGGAAATGACACACGCATCTACCATCCAACTGATCTAAAAAAAAAAAATGGTTCATGAGACCAGGCAACCTTTTTCCATTGCTCCATGGTACAGTTCTGTCACTCACATGGCCATTGTAGATGCTTTCGGTGGTGGACAGAGGTCATCATGGCCACTCTGACTGGTCTGTAGCGACACAGCCCCCATATTGTGATGCACTGTGTGTTCTGACAGCTTTCTATAATGGCCAACATTAAGTTTTTCAGCAATCTGAGCTATAGTAGCTCACCTGTGTGATCGGACCAGACAGCCTAGCCTTTGCTCCCCATGTGCATCAATGAGCCTTGGATGCCCATGATATTGGATCACCAGTTCTTCTTCCTTGCATCACTTTTAATAGGTATTACCCACTGAAAGTCATTCAGATCTTTTCACTTGCTCATTTTTCCTGCTTCCAACACTGACTGTTCACTTGCTGCCTAATATACAGTATCACCCTTGACAGATGCCACTGTAACAATATAATCAATGTTATTCATCTGTCAGTGGTGCCAGTGGATGATCAGTGTATACTATGGTACAGAATACCATACCCATATAACATGATATTTACATTGCCCACAGTATATTTTGAAAAAATACATGCTAGTACTATGATACCATGTCCAAACATAGTAGTACCATGGTAATTTTTTGTACATTAAGTACCATTTCCAACATGCCAGTGTTTGAATTGTCCACTAGGTGTCATTCACTCACCACATAAAAGCATTTACTGTTATTGAGCATGAAAGTATGAAATTCTCCTGTAAGGGATTAACTAGCACGCAAGCGGATAAAAAGGTTTCTGTCATTTAAACATGTAAATCACATGTGTCTGAGTCATATGTTGAAGAGGCCCATGAAGGTAGCATGAGCTGTCAGGATGAGCTCTGCAGATTTGCGGGGAACAGAGAGCTGAAGAGTGGATCCAGACTCCAGGAAGTAAATTCCTATGAGAGGAACACATACTTTATAATCAGACAGATATTTAGATTATACTGCAAATATTGCAAAATGATCCAGATTTTTGTATGATCAAAAAACTTCTACAGCAGATGGTAAGGTCCAAACAGAGATCTGATCTTATCAGGTAACTAAAGGAGACTAAACCTAAACTCATCATCTGTGTGGAATGTTGTTGATTTCTACAGAAAATGCTTTAATTGTGAAGCTTAATACAAGACACCACAGGTCAACAGGGTAAAAACTACTAGAATTTTTGTATTCATTTTCTCAAATATTTAAATATGCAAATAAGATCGAATTAAATATGTACTAATTTGCATACATTTCCAGAACAGAAATCTGAACATTGAATAAAGCCATATCCAAAATACTTGTTTCATTTTGTTGAGATTTTAAAGGTAAATGTGTTTGTCTATTTATAACCCCATGTTTCCAGGTAAACAATGTTATATTAAAGGGGTCATATGATGCGATTTCAAATTTTCCTTTCTCTTTGGAGTGTTACAAGCTCTTGGTGCATAAAGAAGATCTGTAAAGTTGCAAAGACTAAAGTCTCAAATCCAAAGAGATATACTTTATAAAAGTTAAGAGTCAGCCACACCTACCTAAAATGTGATGGGTTTTAATGTTTATGTCTCGTCGCTCCGGCCGGACACGGCATCGACAGTATGGTGAGGGGCGTAACATTTCCTTCTCACGCTTGAGGTATTCGGCCAATCACAACGCATTGGATAGCTGACCAATCACAGCACACCTTGCTTTTTCAGACCGATGAGCTTTGTAAAAATTTACGCGTTTCAAAAAGGCGGGGCATAGAGGAGAAACAATAATGTACAGTATGTGGAAAATAATGTGTTTTTTTAACTTTAAACCGCATAAACACATTTCATTACACCAAATACACAAAATAATGTTCTTTTTAGCAGCATCATATGACCCCTTTAAGCAGATGAATGATACATGAACAAAGCCCTCTGTAAAAACCTTCAGAATATAGATAGGACTAAAACTGTGAAGTTTTATGTATGTAAGTGCTGGAAAACAAACTAATTTTGAGAAAATGCCTTTAAGGATATGTAGTATAATTGAAATCTACAGACAGAAATAGATTAACTGTAAATAAATAAATAAACAAACACTTACATGTGTATTTTGGATGTTTTCAAAAAGACAGAATCTCAAAATTGAAAAAAATAGTGGTTTTGCCTGTAGCGTTGCTTGGAGTGTCCTTTTTTTCTGTGATATCTGACAGTCGGCTGGGTCATTCTTAGAAAATTGTGTCATTTGTGGCCCATTTGTATCCCTATTACATATATACAGTATATGATAACAAATAGTAATAATAGAACACTGAATTTAGTCACATTATTTGAAAAGTTTAATTCTGTTCAGTTTTTTTTAAAAAGAACACTTTTTTGTGTGCTTTTTTTTTTGTTATTAGTTATTATTAATATTTATGGCTGTCACTAATGATTATTTTGGTAATCGAGCAATTACTCTGACGATTAATCAAGTAATCAGAAAATCATTTGTGGTAATAAAAATAGACCTAAGTAAATAATAGACTTTAAAATGACTTAAAAACATATATAATAGCAATGAGGCAATAATAATTGGTTCAAATAAAATATCAAAAGCAAGTAATCATAGGGTTTTACTGAACAAAACAGTTTAAATACATAATGTAATAAAACAATATAATCATAACTTATGTACATTATGTATTATATCAAATTCCCACAGAGAGCACCAATGGCCTGATTGTTTTTATACAGTGTGATCTAATCCTTGTTTAATATTGACTAAATAACATTTAATTCAAATGTCCACTTAATCTTTAACATTTGGCCACTCCTTTGTCACGAATCCTGTCCATGGACTTCCGTCCAATTGCCACCAGAGGTCACCCTTCCGTTACATTGACTCTCACACTACACAAACTGTTGCATGTCATCCCGGACTACATATCCCAGCATCCACTGCACTGATTACACACACAGCTGCTGCCAATCACACACCCTACATAAGCCATGGACTTCCTCTCTCTCACTGCCGAGTATTGTTTGCGCATATTGCTCAGTTAGTGATAGCAAAGTTACAGAGCCCTTTTCCTAGTCTTGTATTTGTTCCTAGTTCTAGTCTAGTCT